ATTGAAGAAGGGGGAGGGAAGGAAGAGAGACAGAGCAAAAGCTTCCAGACCAAACTTCTCAGAACGTGGGGTATGCATGTGGGTTTCTCCCCGTGTCATAGTCAGACTACCATAGCCTAGGCCTCCCTTAAGCCAAACCAGATGCACCCTTGGTCCAGCCAAGGTCATTCAGGCATGAATTCGTTAACCATTTATTAGACCCCTAACCTGTGCTAAGCAGTAAAGCACCCCCATAGATCATCAACACCTGTCTTGCTAATTGTTCTAGTTGAGGTAGATGCATTGAGCAACCAAAAGTCAGGCCAGAGTCATCGAGAAGCTTTGGTAAGCTCTGTCTCAAAGAGTGGCTTGGAAATTGGCGAGGCAAGATGCCTCAGGTAGGGGAACCACAAGAGCAAAGCTACGGAGAATGGCAGTTTCCAGAGTATATGGGACACAGGGAGGCTGTTGGGCAGTGATACTGGAGAGTTAGTTGGGGCCAGGGTTTTGGAGGGTCTGGGTGCCAGGATACAGGGTTTAGACTTTGTCATAAAATGATGGGAAGCTAAGGAAAGTCTTTGAGCAGTAACAGGATATGATCTTACCTGTATGTTGGGAAAGTCTCTCTAGATTTAAATAGGGGGAATGCAAGGACAAAGATTAAATGCAGAAAGACCAGATTTCAGGCTTACAAGAATGAGCCCACAGCCTATTCATTGAGTCATAGATGGGGTTTTATTTAATATTAAAATCCCTGCCAGAATTTTTTTTAAATCCTTATCACTGGCTCCCCTCCCCTGATCCCACAACTCGATTTTAGATTAATTTTCTGACATCATTTTCTGAAAAATGAATCATGGCCCCAGTGAGGATTAACACTTGGGCCTTTCTTGGTTGGCCAACAGACTCGGCTTTAAACCCTTCGCAGCTGCAAACCACGCAGGGGAGGCAGCACGGGAGGCAGCCGCCTGTAGTCTGAGCCTTGCCTTCAGCTGAAGAGATAAGAACCCACAACTTTGGCAACAGGAAATGACAAAGCAGTGACTGATGGGGAGCCACTGTACAGGACTCATTATGGCGCTTGCCAGCGGGCGAGACACCCTTATCAGGGAGAAAATTGCATCAGGCCCCCTGAATTACTAGCGATTGGAAGCAGATTTCTTGAGATGCACTTTGTTAGATAGATAATGAGAGGGAGGTGGGGGGATTCAGACCAGCAGAGCCCAAAGCTGGCAGGGCGGGGACAAATGTCTTTGTTAAACAGAATTTGTCAGTTTCCGCTTCGGGCTCCCTGGGGAGGGTTCAGGACCAGCTAATTGAATTAAGAGCAGTGCACTCCAGCAGGAAAGCTCAAGGCCGTGCGAGAGGCAAACAGTCCGGTAGGAGGACACTTTTCAGCACCAAAGGACAGCAGGCGTAAACTGGCGGGTCTGTAATTGCCAGTGCAAGCTGGAACTGTTGCATTTTGCATGATCAGGGATCTGGGGGATGGAGTAGGAAGGAGAGAAGCAGAACATGTAAGTGGAGGAGGGGATAACAGGTGACCCACAAAGCCTTGAGCTTGTGATGCTCTTGGCCTGGTCTGATTCAACAGAGCCTCTTGCAGGCAACGTGAGGGCTGGGAGGCTTCGGGAAGGAGCGTCTTCTCCCCGCCTCGGCACTCACGTGGTGTGGAGCAGCTGCTGCGGCAGCACGAGAAGCAGGCTGGGCTGGGAGTCTGAGCCAGTGCATGGCTACGCATCCCTTTGAGCTTTCAGGGTAAGTCTCTAACTACAGCCCTAATGAAGCAGGATGTGCTGCAGCCATGGAGCTACAAAGCGACAGGCCACTTGTCAGCCCCAAGCTGCCTCAGTAGGCAGGGTATGACCTGCCAAGTAGAAAACAAGTGAGCAGGCTTGCGGGGTGGGCTAGCAGCCCCCACGCCCACCCTCACCCAGAGGAAAGGGGGAGAGCCAGGTAAGACTGGGCCTGAACAGGGGGAGTTAGCCACCAAGGCTTCACCTCTCCCCATCCCTACTTAAGCATTGCCCCTCCCCCAATCCTCCGCCCTGACCCACCACTTCCAGCAGCCTGGCTCCTCCCTTTGGTCTGAAACCAGCTCCTTTCCCAGGAGGACCAAGGAGGGGAGGGCACACTCCCCTCCCCGGAATAGGGCGGGTTGAAGCTGAGGCATCTGGAGAGGTGAGGGACTGTTAGGAGAAGGTAGGCCCTTTGTGAGGCACTGCGGTCTTCCTGGTGCCCCTTACCTCCCTGGGGGGGCCCATACTATGTGGGGGGCTAAAGATTTTTCTGTAGACGTTACCCACCCACCTTGTCCCCAACTCCTAGACCACAATAGATCCTGGCAAAGTTGATTGGAAATGTGGGCAGCAGACCTGCGGAGGTGGGGGGTGGAGAGGTGCTGGCATGAAACAGCTGTGGGAGCAACACACAGTCCAGGACAAGCTGTGGAGCCGGCGGAGCAGAGCAGAACCACTGACTCTGGCAGGGGCTGCGGAAGAGCAGTGGGGCAGAAGGGAGTGGAATAGGCAGAATAGGCAAGTCCACAGATGTTCTGCGTGTCCTCCCCTCCTTTTCAGAACACACCTCACCTACCAGAGACTGATGAGGTAAAGGTACTGGATTGGAGTTAGCCTCGTTTTTATTTTATCTTTGTGATGGAATTAAATAAATTATACATAATAAATTTCAGAATCCACATAAAAGTACCTGGTGACTGCCCAGCTCCGGTCAAGAGCTCAGTCCATGTCAGCTCTAAGTCACTGGGTTGACCCAGCTGGTGCTGGGGCCACAGAGGGTGGATGTCAGGGAGACAGCCTTTGGGGGAGGGACCTCCTCAGCATTGTGTCCCTGCTTTCAGAACTGATAGGGCACCTCTGGAGACCTTTCCCTTGATTTCATTATTCTACTTCCTCCTCTAACTGGATTAGATGGCAGCCTATGAAATCCAGGACATCAAAATTGGCTTGCTGCCTGGAAATGAGGAGAAATGTCATTATGGGTCTTGAATCAGCATCTCACCCCAGCCCCAGGAGCCACTTTGTCAATGGGGAGTTACTCTTTATCCTGAGTGGTTACTCCTTCCTTCATTCTCTCTTACATCCATTCATCCATCCATCCAATATGCATTCTGTTCTCCTCTGCAACCAATCTGGTGTTCAGCTGTTTTGAACAGGAGAGAGATATGGTACTTTTTCCTATATAAAACAGACAACCAAAAATCCCAAACCATCTGACTTAGATGCTGCATTGAGGCACTGGGCATGTTCATGAGGAGCCTCCAAGTGACTCTTGCCCTCCCTGCACCATGGGTACTGAGAGGAGCAGGTGAGAGAGAGAGCCAGGCCTAATGCCCAGGGACAAAGCAGTTCTAGAAGTCTTGATGTTGACATGCAGTTGGTGCTATAATCAGCCCCAACGTCGCCCACACTTCTTTCTTCCCATATAACTGCTTTCTCTTTGGAATTATCTGTCCTTGTATTCTTTGATGTGGGGTGGGGGGCAGACTGGACTGCATACCTCTGTACTTATGTGGTTATCCTTTACTCTATCTACATAAAACTGAAAAGGCTTCGTGTTCATGAATTCCGCACACCAAATTTTAATTTTAAAGGGCATAAAGATCATTATTTAAAGGATCCCAGTGGTAAAGTGAAGGATTCCTGTCTGAATTCATCTGATCCATATGTGTGGGTTTTCATATAGAGTATCCAATTCTCACTCTGTTCAGGTTTAGATATTTAAACACTTCTAACCCTGAACACATCTGTCCTGGTTGGCACTGTGCTCATTCTTCTATTTGCTTCTAGAACAACACTCCAGACTGTGGCATATTTGTCTGCTGTGTGGCCAAGACAGAATTCCATAAGCTGGTGTAGGGTAGAAATGGGTCACCTTTGAGATCCCTACAACCTTGATACTGCCTAATTAGTTGAACAATGCGCACTTTTTAGGGCTAACTATGGATTTTCAACAGAGCTTTAAAGTAACATCTCCCCAGAGAGAGCATAAGACATATGCCTGAGTCCAAGGAACTCAAAGTTTTGTTAGAAAACAAAAATGGCAAACAAGCTTGGAGTCAGAGACCAATGTGAGCAGAGAGAGCCAGGGGCTGGGCTGGAAGAGCCCAGAGCAGCTTTGAGCCGGTGTGGGCACATGCCATTCGGCTTCCTGGAAGGGCTGGTATTTGAGTGGGGTCAAATTCTAGACAAGCAGAGATGAGAGTGAAAGTTGTGCCAAGGGAGGAGGAGAGCAGGAAACAAGACATGGAAGGAAAAAGAGGACCTCAGAGGGGGTGGGGAGAGAGAGAGATTGTTTGATGGGTGATGATTCGGGGAAAGAATGACAAAGGAGATGGAATGGAAAATAAGTCTACACAGCAAAGAGTGTCACAGGAGTGTGGAGATTTTAGAAACTATTGTTACTGCATTGAGTATGGAAGTCATAGATGGCACCGTTTATTATTTCAAAAGTATTTATTGAATACCTACAATGAGGCTGCCGTGAGGGATAAACAAGGCCCTTGCTCACATATAACTTACAGTCTAATGTAGGGATTGGAGGAGGGAGGCCGGCAGTAAACAACTAAACACATTTTTTAAAGTTAAGTTTCTGGTAAAGTACTATGAACACAGTAAATGGTATAATGTGAAGAGAGCATATATTGGAGGAGGGGTTACTTTAGACAGGATGGGCCTCTATCTTGAAGAGCAGAGCCTCTCTAAGAAAATCACATGTGGGCTGACACCTGAGTGAGGAGAAGGGACCAGCCACGTAAAGACCCGTGAGGCTTTCCAGGTAGGAGAACAGCAAATGCAAAGGCCTAGAGGCGGGAAAGAGCTTGGCTTGTTAGAGAAACATCAAGGGCAGTGTGGTTAAGGCCCGGTGAGCAAAAGGGCAGGAAGCAGACGGGGGCCAGACATGCAGGGCCTCCTGAGCCACGAGGAGGAAAGGTCTGGGGTACGGAAGTTACATTTATGGCAGAGAAGCACAGAGAAATTTTTTGTACCTTCTCTTCCCAGAGGCCAGAAAACTTCTTAACACCAAACAACAGCAAAGCTCTGCCCATCCTGGACCCTCAGATCTTAGATGAAAAGCTGAGTTTCAGCCATGAGTCCTTGTCCAAGGCCACAGTGAGCTCCACGATGAACTCCAGCACATCCACCCGTCAGGAAGCAGAGGAAGAGCCTCACAGTCCCCGGACGTCCCGTGAAATGGTGAGTGTCTTCCCTGCCCCAGGGTGGGAGGGCTGGAACAGTGATGGGGGCGCTTTGGAAGAGGCTTGACTGCCCTTGTGGATCTGGTTCACTGCTCAGGTGGCAAGTAGACCTCCCTTAGGTGCACTCCGTGAGTGAGTCACCCCAAATCTAAGTGGATTCTTCATTTTACAGTTTATTTATCTTTTGAATCAAACATCCATATGATTTACTTCAAAACAAACCTTGCAACACTTATATGAGCTAGTTTCATTTATTCAACTAGTCACCAACTCAGAACTTCCTCAGGAGCATGTCCACTGGGCAATGGGAAGCCCCCTGAGAGATTAGTTTTAGCTTCTAAAAGAGGAAATCAAGCATGGAAGAAAAGAGGTCACTGTCTTTGGTCAGATTCTGTGTCCTTGATCGTGACAGCCAGCATGGCTTCCTGTTTGTTGCCAACTGGCCAGATGCTGGAAAAGGGTTGGTGAAGGTGGCCAAGGTGGTGTCTTAATTTGGTGAGGGGTCAGTGCTGGGTTCTAGCCCCTTGCTGCAGAGAGCTGAAGTGCAGGCCACCGAAAAGGCAGTCCAGTCAAAGTCCCTGACTGAGGTACTGCCCCAATGACCGTGGGCGAATTCAGGTGTGGCTCCCTCCCTCCCTCTACATGGGGAATGTTGCTCCAGAAGATCCTGAGAAAAGGCCTGAGCCAAGGCCACGGGCTAAGAGGGAAGTCCTGGGCTTTCGCCTATTGGGATCTGCCCCTCTCCACTAACAGCCTTCCTCTCACCGCTGCCCCTCGGAAAATCAGTTCTGTGGCCTGACCTTCCAGCTTAGGCATCAGCTGGGTTGGAATACAGATGCGGACCTTGTCTTGGGACAGCATAGAGAAACCAATGCCTGCACTTAGCCTTGATTTCTCTTAAGTGTTAAGTCATGAGAGATGGAACAAGACTGCATCTTGAGAAGTCAAGGTTAGCCATGAGGAAGAATTGTTTTTAAGCAAGAGGTTGAGTAAGCATTGAGAGTAACAGATGGGAGGAGGAGAAACAAGTGGCCCAAGGGCACTAAAATGGATTCTGTGAGGTTCTGAGTGCAAACAAGGGGCTCAGGGCTGCCCCATACCCACAGATTGTCAGAGGTGTTGTGAGTGGGTCTAGATGGAGAACTAAAGCACATCCTCTCTGAACACCACCCAGCACACCCAGCACTTGGCTGGTCCCTCTCACCTCCCCCTGCTGGGGTCCTGGCAAGGCCACAAGCACTGGCTGCTCTCCCTGGTTTGCTGTGGGGTTAGATCCACTCAGCCACCACCATTCAGCCTTTGAACTAAAAGCACACTGGCTCCAGGGCCCAGTCCAGGCCTGGCCCAACACAAGGGTAGGTAAACGTTTACTGGGCCATGTGATAGAACCCCTGGCTAGACAGGAAGTATACCAGAAAGAACCATAGAGAACATCTAGTCTGAGCTCCTAATTTTACAAAAGATGGCAGTGAGGATGAGGTGGGACATCCCTGCCCAAGGCTCCTGACCCTACGTTGCCTTGTATATAGCCAAGTGAATACCAGAGGCCTGGATACCCAGCCTTGGACCCTTCAGCCGTCTGACACCACTGGGTGCCTCAGACACATAGTATTCAGGGCAGTGAGCCTGCCCCTCTCTCGTGGCCATTCCAGCCTGTCACAGGCCCCTATCCTGTACTCTCCAGTTCCTGCCTCTTGGCTCCATTTCATGTACCCTCTCTCCCCTCTCCCCCTCCCCTCTCTCCTCCTGACCCTCAGTCCTCGTTGAAGATCCAGCCCCCAGCTCCAGCTCTTAAGTAGCCAGAGACTGGAAGGACCAAAGGTGGACCCAGAGAAACATTCACACAGCCGGCAGAGCACAGTCACGAGCAGTAGAACTTGGATGGGTAGCAATAGTGTACAGGTCCCTAACAATTGACAGCAATTATGTAGCAGTGGGTCACTGCTCCATTTCCACAAAACAGAATTACTTAGTAGCAGATGAGCTCACACAACCAAGAGACACAGTGACAAGCAAGAGAGCGTAATCGTAATTGGGGAGCAGCGAGCACAGCTGCAGAGCGATAGACCCAAGCCACCCAATGCTACCACACAGCACTGTTACAGGAAGGGCAGCCATAGAACACAGCAATGAGCAAAGAACATGGCATGTAAGCTGCAGACAGGGTCATGGAGCAGTATAAGATATCTGATTAGCGCTCAAACATATCTGGAGGCAATGGCATGGTCATAAGTGGTGTGACTCTGAACGTGCGGTCAGAGAGTAGTCACCAGCAGCAGAGCCTCAGGGTATACAGTGAGCCCCAATGACAGGGCAATGAGGTGAGCAAATGGCTAAACCTCCTCCCTGGACTCTCGGCCACTCTTTCTGGGCGGTGATCCTCTCGGCATCACCTAATTCCCAGGATGTGCGTGTCTATGTCTAATCTTGTAGCACACTCTGCAGAGCCCAAGAAATAATTTCTCCTCCAATTCCCACTGCGGCTGAATAGGAAATTAAACATTTTCTGGAGAAAGAAGCAGCTGGGGTGGAGAAGGGAGCAGAGGAGATACAGGCTGTGCCCCCTCTTTAGGGAGGGTGCTATGATGCGCTCTGCTGCCCCAGGCCTGCCAGTCCTGTCCCCACACCAAGCCCTACTGGGGTGCCCTCCCCTTAGTATCCACGGGATCCTCTTCCTTCTAGGGTTGCAATCCAGGCAATTCTTCCATCTCGGGCTCTCTTCATCCAGGACACTTGGTTTTGACACAGGCCATTCAAGTGCCATTGTGTCATGCTGAGTGGACCACTGGAGTCAGGGTCCCATGGGTGTGATCTTGAATCAAGTGTAGGATGAGGCAGGGCTCAAAGAAACTTTTGCCACCCTTCTGAGCATCCCAGGACGTCTTTTGAAAGAGGTGGGCTTTAAGTGGTGTGAAGAATGAGAGTCATCCTGAACGTGACAACCCCCCAAGCCCACCACATGCTGAGCCAGGCAATATCCCCTCCCACACACACACCAGGAGGGAGCAGGTAAGACGAGGGGCTCTCTGCTGTGTGCAGACAGGCCTGGTTCTGTTCACACAGGGCTTATAAAACACCTGAGTCCTGCCCTGGCCAGTTTGACTCAGCAGTTAGAGCGTCAGCCCGCGGACCAGAGAGGCCTGGGTTCGGTTCCCACTAAGGGCATGTACCTCGATTGCAGTTTGTCCCTGGCCCTGGTTGGGGTTGTGTGAGTGGCAACCAGTCGATGTGTCTCTCTCACATGGATGTTTCTCTCTCTCTCTTCCCCCTCTCTCCCTCCCACTCTGTCTGAGGATAAATGCAAAAATGTCCTCAGGTAAGGATAAACACACACACACACACACACACACACACACAAAACACCTGAGTCCTCCGCAGCCACATCAGCAATCCTCCAACCAGCCAGAAAACAGAAACTCCCACCTCCTGCCAGGTGCCCAGCTGGGTCCAGCTGTACAAGGACCTAGGACAGGGAAAGGCCCAAGCAAAGAGGCCAAGGCCCTGAGTTCTGGAAGTTCTTCAGCCAGCAGGAGTTGAGCCAGAGCCTGGAAGAAAGGAGATAACAGTGACGCAGAGCAGGAGCCCAATAAATATTTGGTGAGGGATGAATGGCAAAGGGGCATGACCGAGACAATGCATCTTCTTACGTGGCACACCTACCCAGCATTGTTGGGCACACCTGGTGAACCCTCAGTAAAGAAAGGAGCAAGGAAGGCTTCCTAGAGAAGAAGGCTGCATAAACAGAGACAGAACTACTCAGTTGCTATTCAAGAAGTGTGTGTTGTATTGTTTCCAGCACAGAAATTCCAGCACAGGATCTTTCCCTCCTTTCTCTAGCTTCCTCCCCACTTCTTCACTGACCCTCTCTATTTCTGTCTCTCCCTGCTTCTGTCTTTCTGTAGTTATCTCTATTTCTTTCTGATTTTTTATTTTTTAATTAATTTTTGTTACAGTGTTTCGTTTTCCCCCACTGATTCCCCCCTTACCACCCCGCCCCCATCCCCAGCTTTGTTGTCCATGCCCATTGTTCATGCATACATGCATATAAGTTATGTGGTTTATCTATCCCCACCACCCCCTCTTCTGGGGATTGTCAGTCTGTACCCCATTTCCACATCTCTGGGACTACCCCATTCCTCAGACTGTTATGTTCATTATATTCCACAAATAAGTGAGATCATATGGTACTTGTCTTTCGCTATTTGGCTTGTTTCACTTAGGGTAATACTTCCCAGATCTCTCCATGTTATCTCAAAAGATAAGAAATCTTCCTTTCTTACAGCTGCATAGTACTCCATTGTGTATATGTACCACAGCTTTCTTATCCATTCATCTACTGATGGACATTTGGGCTGTTTCCAGATCTTAGCTATTGTAGATAGTGCTGCTATGAACATGGGGGTACATATATTCTTTCTGATTGGTGTTTCAGGCTTCTTACAGTATATTCCTAGAAGTGGGATCACTGGGTCAAATGGCAGTTCAATTTTTAATTTTTTGAGGTAACACCATATTGTTTTCCATAGTGGCTGCACCAGTCTGCATTCCCACCAGCAGTGTACTAGAGTCCCCTTTTCTCCACACCCTCGCCAACACTTGTTGTTTGATGATTTGTTGCTGGCGACCATTCTGACAGGTGTGAGGTGATACCTCATTGTTGTTTTAATTTGCATCTCTCTGATGATTAGTGATGATGAGCATTTCTTTATATGTCTCTTAGCCATTTGTATGTCCTGTTTAGAGAGGTGTCTATATGGTTCCTCTGCCCATTTTCTTTCTTTTATTTTTAAATCTTTATTGTTGAATGTATTACAGATGTTCCTCATTTTTCTCCCATTGACCCCCTCCTCCCCACTCCTGTCCCCCTCCCGCCTTTTCCCACACGGTTGTCTGTGTCCATTGGTTATGCATATAAGTTCTTTGGTTTATTTCTTCCCACCCCCCCAACCCCTTTCCCTTTGAGGTTTGTCAGTCTAGCAATGAATTTGTACTTCTTAA